AAACTGCTCCTTAGTGAAAGAAATAACAATTTCGATATTCATTTTCATTAGAAATCACTCCGTATTCGGAATTTTCTATATGAATTGCTCCTGCAAAGTTAGATTTCAAATTTTCTAAACCTGAATTTACTATTTCTTTGCCAAAAATCTCCTCTGATTCAATAATAGTTGAATTGATACTCATATGAAATTTTTAATAATTCGAGTATAGCAATGATCCCATTTGTTTAGCACTAAACTTTTAAAACAATGACTTTGTTAATTTTTTGCTGTCGGAAGTGATATTCAATAATCCATCCATCTTGCTTATGTAAAAAACACCTCCAGATTCAGCTGCTGAAGAATTTATAAACTTAGATTAGTGTAAAGAGAGATATTTAAGCTAAGTTGAACTAATATAAAATGTACCCCCTGAAATACCTGCAAAAGCATCTGTAATATTATCATTAGACATATTGAATTAACTTTAACCCATTGGATCTCGAGGCTCGTTAATATAGAATAATCCTCCATAGCTTATGGCATTAGAATTTTTAATACTTGATTCAGCTATTAAAGTTGGGGATGAATCAGAGATATATATAACACCTCCAGATACAGCAATTGAATTAGTAATAGTAGCATTAGTCAAATTTGTAAATGTTCCTTCAAGAAAAAATACCCCGCCAAATAATGCAGAGTTATAGTTATAAATAGAGTTAATATCCTTAATTGTTGTTCTGAATAAAGAAAATGCAGCTCCTATCTAGCATAGATAGCAGTTTCTAATTATTTAAGTATCTGCTTTTATCATTAGAGCATCTTGAATATAAAAAGCGCCTGCAAAATCATATTGAGGAATAGCAATATCAATTTTGCCTTTAAGATTTATATTATATTCATAATGCTGATATTAGCATGAAATAGTATTATTCTAAAGAAATAGTTCTAATTAACTGCTTTCAGAGTACATTAAACTCCCTTTGAAGAATGTGCGAAAGTTATGAAATTAAGAATTAGTAACGCTCAATTAAGTTAAGTTTAATATTTAAAAAATTCCGCCCTGTTCATATGAAAAACTATTATTTACTGTCATATTATTAATCAATATTTCCTAACCTGTACTATTTATCAGAAATACACCTCCTGTCTTATTACTAAAGGAATTCTAGATAATAAAGCTTTCAAATAATGTTTAGCCTGTTTATTTCTTAATTATCATAACCCCAGCCTAGTCTATGCTAAATGAATCATTGAATTAAAGATCCTTGAGAGTTAATTATTTTTAATGATTAGATATGTAAAATACTCCTCCTACTTAAGCTTAATTTGACTGATAATATGATTTTTGAATACTAAGAGTACAGTTATCACAAAAAATAACACCACCTTTTTTTGCACTATTGAACATATAATTTGAATTGCTATCTGAAAAACTTGAATTTATTAAAGTAAAAACGCCACCTTGATAACAAACATAGCTATTTTAAAATAGGTTTCCTTTACTTAAGATGGTCTTAATTAAGTTTCTTGCATAAAATGCTCCAGGAATATAATTACTCAGTAATTACGAATATTTTCCAATCCATTATTATTTCATTTAGTTGAATGTGTTATTTTATAATATAATTTGAACTTGGTTGTCTTCTGCATACATAAAGGATCCATTTAAATTTGATTAATAATCGTAAAAGACAGAATCAATTAGTTTTATTTCATGTGAACTAAATATACTGAAAATGCCACCATTACCATTTAAAGCCTTGCTATTTTCAATTTAAAATTACTAAGAGTTTTCAAATTATAGCTATGAGTGATTAAAATAGAAACACCCACCATTTTAATTTGCTATGCTTCTATTGAAATAATTATAGTTAAACAATTTAATGTTGCATTAACTAGTTAAATCTGTCCCGACTACATAAATAAGACCTCCATCATTTAAGACAATTGAGTTTTAAGTTTCAACACTATCTAAAGTTATATTGCTGCTTTTCTCAACATATATTAACCCACCATCAAAAGCTTTTATATTTCTAAATGAAGTCTTATTAATATCGATTTCTGAATCAATAGTATAAAACCCTCCCCCCTAAATTGATGAAAAATCAGCGTATGTTGAATTATATTCAAATAGATTTGTATTTTATAAAAAGAACATTCCCCCTTTGTTTCTATTATGGCAATTCTAAAAAGTGTTTTGCTTAGAGTAAATAAAGTTTGAATTCATAGCATAAACAGCACCACCAAATTTATAGATTTATTATAGCAAGAGAGTATCATCATTTTATTCGGTATCTACTTGCTCACAGTGTATTAAATTCTCATTCATTTAAATGGATTCAATGATCGAATTAGTGTATATTACAGATCCTTTATGATAAGCTCTGCTTGATATAATTTCAGTTGAAGTAATTCTTATTTCCTTTCCTTAATTTATATTTATAAACCCACCACTAATCTTTGCTGAGGAATTGAATATCTAACCCTTATGGATTTCAAGTATTAATTTAACTGCATCCACATATATTCCACCTCCATTTTGTTCCTTACTACTCAACCAATTCATTTTTGAATTGATTATCTTAATTGTTATTTATTAAATGACATCTTAAGCAAATATTAATCCACCATTACCTATTGACTCTGATATACTGAGATTCGAATCATTGATAACTATATCTGTTTACCCATTAATATAGAATGCCCCTCCAGTATGAGCAAAAGATTCAATAATAGTGACTTTGTTAAATTAACTTAGGACCTTATTGAAAAAAAAGCTTCCACCTTAAAGTGCAGAAATTTTAGAATATCTTGAATTTTTATCAGTAATCTGAGTATTTTCTAAATTAAATATACTCCCAGAGGAACTTCCTCTACACTAAGAAACTTACAAGCTATCTATTTCAATTTCTTATGAATTTTTTAAATAAAACAAACTCCCAGCAGTTGTTATATTTTAATAGACATTAGTTTCAAAATCATTTTCATCTTCAACTTAGCAAATTATTTTTGTTTAGGTTATTAGTAAATTTAAACCATTTTTCTCAGAAAATATCAAGGATCCTTAATTTGAAGATGAGATATTTGAAATTGAAACATTTTAAAGAATTATTTTTTTTGATTTTTATTCGAGATATATATTTCCATTATTTGCTGTATAAATATCTATTAGACTGCAATTTTCAATTATTATTTCTAAATCTGGATTGCTATTCCAAAATAATCCACCATCTTATTGAGATTCAATGAACTATAAAGTATTTTTGCAATTCTAAATTGTAATTTAAGCTAACCCGTTACCATATGTATTTATAATTCCTCCCTGAATTCGAGATTTGGAATTTAGTATCCAAGAATTCTCAAATATTATTTTTGCCTAGTTTTATAGATCCAGAATAGAACCATAGTTAGATATTGAATCTTTAAATGTTATATTATTAAGGTTATAAATCAAGCCACCTCCTTTTATACTTATAATTCCTTATTAGCCTCCATTTTAATTATATGTTGAAGAATTATCATAAAACTTAATGTTTGGCTGAATCATAAAAATTGATCCTCTTCTTGTATTGTAGCATTAATTATACTTATTCAATTCTGACATAATTTAACCAGTTATATCAGTTTTAAAGCAGAAGAGTCCCCCTATCAAATTTTGTGATGAGTCTAAATCTTAAATAACTTGATTATAATAATTAGGAAAATCATTGTAAATTTCCAGCTGTCTACATTAAAATGATGACTCTTTAATTGAAATATTAATATTTAAACTAGCAATTTCGTCTCCGAAACAAAATGATCCATCTTCAAGGGATTTTAACTATTAAAAATCACAATTTTAAATATCTAACTAAAGAAAACTAGTTTGTTGATCATAAAATACGAATCCTCCACTTTTCATCGATTATAAATTGAAAAATAATAAGTTATAAATCAAGCCCCCTCCATTTACACTTATAATTCCTTATTAGCCTCCATTTTAAGTATAAATTGAAGATTTATCTTAAAACTTAATGTTAGGCTGAATCATAAAAATTGATCCTCTTCTTGTATTATAACACTAACTATACTTATTCAATTCTGACATAATTTAACCAGAAATATCAGTCTTAAAGCAAAAGAGTCCCCCTATCAAATTCTGTGATGAGTCTAAATCTTAAATAACTTGATTATAATAATCAGGAAAATCACTGTAAATCTCAAGCTGTCTACATTAAAATGATGATTCATTAATTGAAATATTAATGTTTAAACTAGCTATCTCTTCTCCGAAACAAAATGATCCATCTTCAAGGGAATTTATCAATAAAAATTCAGAATTTTAAATATCTATCTAAAGAAAACTAGTCTATTGATCATAAAATACGAATCCTCCACTTTTCATTGATTATAAGTTTAAAAATAATGATTGATTTAGTACTAAAGTAAGTTATTAAGAACTCGAGTACAATACAGCTCCATTAGCATCAGATTTTATGTTTTAAATTATTGATTATTATTCAATTATCACTACGTTAGTGACTTCACTGATAAGATTAAATAATCCTCCATTTTAAGAAACATAAGAGTCGTTTATTGATGAATTTTATATTTTAATGAATGCATCACTTCCCAAACAATACATTAGTGCTCCATTTGAACTTTTAAGTTACTATATTAAAGTTTTATTAGTTACAGTAAAATTTGTTTTTTCACTATGAGAAAATATTAAACCTCCTTCTAAAGCAGAATTAGAATTAATTATATTGCAATTACTGAAATAAATTATACTCTAAACTGCATTTTAAATATTTATCAATCCTCCAGCTGCACTAGCAAAAATATTATCAATTTGACTATCAAAAATTTTAATAGATACTATGCTAGATTCAGAATATAATAAATTTCCTCCGATTGTTTAAATATTTTTTATAGAAACATTTTATAGTATAATTCCGAAATTTAACGCTAAGGATTGAATAATAGCACCACTAAATGAAGAATTGATATTGTAAAATTATGAGGAAATTATCTGAGCATTTACATTTTGAGCTTTTGTTGTAATCTTTATGATAGAACCTTGAATTTGATAAGATTATAAAAAATCGAAGCTTGAATTTTTAATCGATAGCATGACATCATTTTCACAATCTATCATTAAAGTATTTCCAATTTGATTTATATTTTTTTATTAGAAAAGTATGCTATCAATTTCTAAGTTCAAATTTCCTTTGATTTCTAAATGAATTACTGCAGAATTTGATGTAGTAATGATATCCGTAAATTAGGAATCTTGGTATAGATAGCTTCTATATAAAACTTACACATTACTAATTTTTTGAGTATCTTCATCTTTGAAATATATAGATCCACCACTTTAAATTGATTCACTCCCCTCAATTTAGATACTTTCAATGGCAGTTTATGCTTATTATGGATTAATAATATATAAATCTCCGCCGAAACTTGCGAAACCATTGAGAAAAGAATTATTTTAATTAGTATGGAGGCAGCCTGAACAATAAATACTTCCTCCAAATACAGCCATATTATTGATAAATTCATTAGATTGTAAATTTAATACTTTACTAGATGAGGTTTGTAAAGTTACAATACTACTCTTGTAAGATGGTCCCAAATTTCTGAACTTACTTTAAATTAAATCTACTGTAATTTCTTAATTAGAAGAAATTATATCAAATAGTGGTGGCTAATTAAACTACTGCTAAATTATCAAATTTTTAAATTACTATTTGGATTCTTAATATTAAGTAGATGAATTGCCTACAAAGAGTGAGTTATTTACAATAAGTTTGACTGAATATATACTACTTAAAATGCATAAAAATCTTCCACAACCAGTTGTATATAAATTTTTAATAGTGGATGATGGGTTTGAGACATCATGTAGTTTTATTTATTCCATGTAAACTTATGAAGGATTTGTAATAGTAAGGAATCCATTGAAATTTCCTTAATTTGATTCATATCCGATTTTAATGTTATTAATAGTCAAATTTCTCATATTTATCATATGATTTTAAACATCCATCCAAATTATACTAGAGTCTCTTTATTAACATTAGTCGAATATACTATTAAAGATAAATATTTAATCAATAGCTGATTCCATCTCAATCTACATTTGTTCATAATATATTGATATCAGTTAGTTATTAGTATTTCCCATAAAATTTTAAACTATTATTGTATCAAGTTTTATTTATTCAGTGACTTGAAGCAGATTTAAATTGACATAAGACTTTCTAATAGCAAACTTAATAAAAGGTCCGGTCATAAAATTCATACTTTAATCAGTTCTAATGTTTATGTTCCTAAAAGTAACATTCATCATCTCCATTTTATTTGATGATATTAATAAGATTGGATAATTGCAGTTAAAGCAATCAATATCTTCAAACAATGCATTTTTCATTTAAAAGTCTTGAATATGAGAATACTAATCGATTGGAAGATAAAGCTTTGAGTCCCTGTAGTTTATTAGCATAGGAATATTAGACAGAGCATCATCTTTTTGCCATTTAATGTTTTTGAATTTAGAAAATGTCTTAAAATTGTTAACATATTTAATTAATATCCTGGTATCCCATTAAAGCTTGAAAAAAGGGCTTATTGCTCCCAATCTTTGATTCTAAGTTACTGTAAATCCAAGAGCTTCAGGTCCATATGGATTTCCTTTGATTCCGATGTGATTTTAAATTGTTAGACCATCTATTGTTAGCTATCCTTAAAAAAATGCAAGTGTTAATATTTAACCCTTGATATTTGAAGCAACAGTTTCATATTACCAATTTGAGTCGAATGTACTATTAATTAATTTAATCTCTCCATGTCTAAATAATTCTATGAGTGAAGAACGATAAGGATATAAGCCTAATGTTGAAATTTCTACAGCATATGGCTCAGAATCATGGTTTGATACCATCATCACGTAGAGATTATCCTAACCTAGCATTACTGTACTCTCAAAACTTGACTCACCGTTCCCAATAAAATTTTCATTATCAAAAAATGATCTAGGTGCTTAAATACTAATTAATGAATCATTGTTTGAGGCGAAGTTTTACTTGTAAGAATTTCTAGTGAATCTTATCATATTAAGATCTAAATTATAATTTATTCCTTAGAACGAGACTTCAACATTTTTCGGAAGTATTTAATCGAAATTCTAATTAAAATATTGTTCTGCAACACCTTGATAAAGATCTATGTACTAGATATCTTCATTTGTTTTTGTTTAGGTATAATTATAATTTATGCAATAAATTTTAATTAAACCACCACCATGTATCCCACATCCATAATTTTATTCAAATTAATTTTCTTCAAAGTGCAATCCAGAGCAAAAACTCTTACTAGAACTAGGAATAGTATTTAGTACATTTGTTACTGAATCAGATATTAGAGTAATTCTAAAAATTGATGACCTATAATATGCTCCATTTCTAATAAATTTATTCCTTGCTACTAAGAGTCTACTCTAGTCTTTTTAGTTAAGATTAAGTACAATTAGTCCTGTGAGAGCTGTATTTTTATTAAATGTATTGTTTATAATATTTATATTCCAATCCCCATGATTAATAATACTAATCCAGGACTTTAATTGCTAATGAGTTTTCTCTCCATAACTAGGATATTGATCAGAGAAGGCATCTTAAAATCCCTCTTACCTTTCAAAATGATATCCTACTCTGCAATTTCTATATCCCAATTTATTATACTCAAAGAGATTCCCTATCAACGAAATATGGCCATTAAATTCGTCAAAGTCAAATATTAAGCCTATAATTTGTTATATAAATAGATATACCTTAATACTAAAAAAGATAGTCTTGATCAACTTGATTTCCATATTCAATCCAAGGCTTATAATGCCCAAATTTTTTAAATTATGACGATTCTACATATAGCGAAAAGCAAGGTAATGTTGAATGCCTTTGGCTATTTTGACAATTTTACGAATAAGGATTAAAGTTAGATCTTGCTATTTTTTCATTCATTTTTTATGCGTATTAGTTATTTAAATAAGATTGGTAATAGCTCTAGTAACTGCTAAAATCAATGCCACCTATTTGCCTAAAACTCTATTTATTTCTAACTATTGCCCCACAAGTATTAAAATTTTCAAATATAGTGTTTTTAACCACAATGTGCCCTCCTTGATATTTATTTATTTCTATGAAACTATTGAATTCATACAGAAAGTTTTTAAAAACACAATTCTAAATACATAATAAGTTGGCATAAAACATTACTTCAAGCACTAAGGTTGGAGGAGATGTAATCATAGTCTAGGAATTCATGTCAAAATTGATGAAGTTTGTGCCTTCAGCAGCAAAACATAGCTCTGAACTAAAAAATAAAAATAATATAAGTTTTTACGGTTATTTAATGAATTTGCACGAAGGTTAGCCTGCTAAATTTCCATTAGAATCTATATAACAGCATTGTTATGAGGGATTTTAAGCACAAAAAATGCTTTAATTAATATCAGTTTCCAAGTCTAGACTAGAATCAATAGCATCAAATATTAAATTTTTAATTGTTAGTCCAGCACCTACTAAAAAATGGAATGTATCCCTGAGCTTGTAATTTATTGTTATCTATAAATCTGGGCTAGCTGGCTAGATAATTATTTTTGTTGTTTTTGAATATTAGTCTAAATTAGAAGGCATGTAAAAATCTAAAGGATAATATCTAACCATCGCATGACTTCCATCTAGCAATAAAATTGTAATTTAAGCAGATTGATAAGGGGCTCCTAATTCATATGCTTTTTTAATGGCATCTTGTATTGAATTGAAATAATTATTAATAGTGCCGTCAATTAAGCTGCTATCTCTTGAATTCAATCTTCCAACTGAGCCAACATAAATTGTATCTTCATAGCTTTCCAAAGATTTTTGCAAGCATGTTCCAACTGATTATTCCCTGTTATTTAATCTCAAATAATATCCTTTCATGCAAGATTTGCACAATTATAAATCGGAGCATTCAAAACAAGAAGAACTGCATTAATAGCAAAAAGCATAATATACGCCTGATCTAAGATTGTATTATGGGTTTCCATAGTATCCAATTTAGCAAGTTTGAGAGCATGTTTTTAGGTTAGATGAAGAGATGTATCCATCATGGCAAGCATACAAATTAAGAACCTAACCATTTTCACTAATCTAACAATTTGCAATATCATAAGTGTAAGATCCCCAATTTAGATCATAAGATTAATAAGGTGAGCACTCTAGTTTGATAAATTCAATTTATACTTACTTTAGCAATAGTCATAAATACCCCATTTTGTTATTGAATAGCCTTGTTTGCAATCTCAGCAATTGATTGCATTTAATGGCTCAATACAGTTGCTAGGAAATATCGCAGCTGAATTTCATTAATAATTAAGATCAAAAATTACTTTTGCCACAACCCCAAAATCCAGTAAAAACAGTTAAAAACCAATTGTTTTAACAAGCAAGACAATTATTGGCATTGACTTAGTAAGACAAACAACCCTCAATTTCAAAAGTAAATGGAACAGGATAATATTCTAAAAATATGTTTGAAACTGACTATATATACATATAACTTACTGCATTAATAATCCTGACCCAAATATGATAACTAGCTCATTGAGTTGCCACATTCTGTGCACCTGTTGACATCAGAAGGATCACATGATATGCAACCTCTTTCTATGTTACAAACTAAATGCTTTGAATAAATGGATTTTTATTATGAAAATATTTACTAGTAAGCCTTTTAAATTTGGGATGGTTTCGTTAAGATGCCGGCAAGAATGCATTCGTCCACCCATTGTTAGAGCCATATTATATTTATGATATAGAGTCACATCCGTTTTTTAAGTTACAGGATCAGCAATGATTACCGCACCCTTTAGATAAACTATGAAAATATATCTTACAGAGGCAAGTACGATCATATTCATTATTAACATATGAATTATGAGCTTAATTGCAGTCTGGAACGCAACCTCTATATGCAAATTATTCATTTCCTGGTAGATAAGTGTATCTTAGAAGCATGTATAAACCATCTTCACAAGAAATGCACCATACAAAGTGTTTATTATTTATAACATCAGCAAGGCAAGAGTTGCATCCAAAAATAATATCAGTGCATTCTAAATCAAATGAATATTATATTGATAATTACTTTTGCATTATTAGTCTAATTCAATCTCATCACTTTTACAAGTGCTAATGCTTTTAAAGGAAATAGCTAACCATAGTAAGAAAATTATATTAATCATTTTTGTAATGTATTTTAATTATATTGAGAAACCTAAAGTATATTATAATAATTTACGAAAACATTAAATACTTATTAAACTTTAATAGGAAATTAAGATAATTGCTAGCAACTCTATCTAATGATATTTTATCAAATCTAGCTTTATACCAAATTAAGATTAATTGAGATAGAATACGTTTAATATTCAGTTTTAAGATACACTGCTCATTTTTTTTTAAGTTAGTATCATACCTGTTATATAGTTAGAAGTGATTATAACGCTATTTATTCATATATTTTAGTTATTTTTATACTATAACCTTCCTTTTCTTTATATTATGATATTTAAAATGTCATTTATCTTTTTATACAAGATGATTTTTGAATCTTGGGGTTTTGGGGTTTTGGGGTTTTGGGG